CTTTGATTATTTTGACAAGAGCCTCCTGATTCCACCACGCTGCCTCACAAATGACCTTATTGTGTTGCAAGTGCCACAAAACGCTTATTAAAACAAAAGCAAAATATATAATACAAACAAAAATGCTTGGCATTCAGATCATTGGATATAAAACTGTTCCTTCCAGGTTGAGCGTCTACGTCGTGATATACTGTTGCCTTGTATAGAAATAACGATTTCAGCCAGCATTTCGGGTATGCTTGAAGGAAGGCTGATTCGTCCCAGTCCCCATGCACTTTATTGAGTGTGTCAATATTCCCTTGACCTTATCCGAAATGTTGGGTAAATCGTTACTAGTCAACTTTGCAAGTGACTCACGAAAGATCTGCGGGTGGTTGGCGGGTGCTGTGGTGCTGTTTGTTCCTTCTGTCCTATCCTCCTAATCTTGGCTCCTCCTTACTTTTTTTATGTTAGTCTCTAGCGAATCTTCTAAACTTCGGCACTTTTAAAATGACCTACTTGTTATACAAGTGCCGAGAAACATGTGCTAAAACTCAACATAAGAGAAGATCTTTGGTTAGACTTGTAATTGTTGCGTTGTTGTTGTTGTTGTTGTTGTTGTTGTTGTTATTGTTGTTGTTGTTGTTGTTGTTGTTGTTGTTGTTGTTGTTTCGGAATGTCTGGTTTTTTGTTTTGTATTACTTGTTGCTTATTCTTTTTTTTAACTTTTAGAGAAGAATTCCTTATAACAATTGTGTTCCTGGTGTTGTTTCAGGGACGGAAGTCAACACGACCGTCGCCATGACAGATCCGGCGGTCAACTGGACGAGAGGGACCAGATGGACCGGCGGCGAGAGGGCAAGGACCGGCGTAAGGACGGCCGTGTGGAGGCGGCGGACAGGGAGAGGGGAGACCGCTACCACCGCCAGAGCCCCGTCAACGGCCGCCGGGACTACGGTTCCCGGGAGCGGCTCAACGACATGCAGCAGCAGCAGCAACAGCAACAACAGCAACAGCAGCAGCAGCAGCAGCAACAGCCACAGGTGGTGGACGTTAGCCTCCAGGAAGGGGAGGGAAGCCGTCTGGAGCGACGCGGGGGAAGCAGCCGCCACCACAGAGAGCGGGGAGAAAGGTCCGTGAAGGATCAGAGAAGATCTCCGAGCCGGGAGCGAGAACGAGACCGCGGAGGCGGAAGCGGAAGTGGTGGCGGAGGTGGTGCTGGAAGTGGAAGCGGGGGCGGTGGCGGAGGAGGAGGGGGCGTGGTGGTGGGCGTCGGCGGCGGGAAGGGGGAACCCCCGGACGTTCACGAGGGTCAGTTCTCCAGACACCGCATCCTCATCGACCACGCCAGCGACACGCAGGCGGAGGACCCCCGTGATGTTGTGGACAACGACCCCGGAGACAAAAAACAGCATTTAGACCCCAGCTCCGCCGGGGGGCGCTCCAGGAACAACCGCAAGAAGCTGGAGAGCATGTTGAGGAACGACTCTCTCAGCTCCGACCCCTCCGACTGCGTCCGACCGCCGCCCCCCAAGCCGCACAAGCACAGGCGAGGGAAGAAGCAAAGACAACAGAGCATCAGCAGCTCGGAGGACGAGATACAGTCCACGCCGGAGTGCTCCAGCTGCGAGGAGGTGGATTTAGAGAGTGAGAGTGTCAGCGAGAAAGGTAAGCTAGCCACGTTTATTTCTCCACTTATCTTAGGAATACCGTCTAGATTTAAAGTTAGCCATCCCCACCCCCCCCCAACCCCTCCAAAAAACAAAAATAAAAACAACGTATCTTCTAATATGATTTAGAGAGTGAGAGAGTCAGCGAGAAAGGTAAGCTAGCCGAGTATACTTCTCCACTTATCTTATGTCATGATTTAGAGAGTGGGAGTGTCAGCGAGAAAGGTAAGCAAGTCATGTTTCTATACCTTCTCCACTTATCTTACGTCATTTAGAGTCAGCGAGAAAGTATGCTAGCCACGTTTACGCTCCCATTAATTGTCTTAGGAATACCGTCTTGACTTAAAGCTAGCCACCCGCACCCCACCCCCCTCCCCCCAAAAAAAACCCAACGTATCTACCCAACGTATCTTCTAATATGATTTTGGGAGTGAGAGTGTCAGCGAGAAAGGTAAGCTAGCCATTTATACTTCCTCACTTCTCTTAAGAATACCGTCTAGACTTAAAGCTAGCCACCCACCTCTCCCACTCCCCATACAAAAAAAGAAAAATTCTAATATGATTTAGAGAGGTAGATTGTCAGCGAGAAAGGTAAGCCACCTCTCCCCTCCCCCTTCGCCCCAATGTATCTTACATGATTGAGAGAGGGAGAGTGCCAGCGAGAAGATAGGCTAATTATATGTTTTCTGTCCACCACATATCTTACATGATTGAGAGAGTGAGAGTGCCAGCGAGAAGATAGGCTAATTATATGTTTTCTGTCCACCACTTATCTTACATGAGTTAAACAGTGAGAGTGTCAGCGACAAAGGTAAGTTAATAACGTGTAGATCAAAAGCGTATTCCTAGCATCCTGTAAGCCGTTCACTGCGAGTCCTAGCCAGCTGGCACTGTCTTTAGCCGTTTGAAAGGATTAAAGAGTGACTGAGTCTGGCAGTGGAATGGTTTAGCTAAAAGGTACAAAGTATAATTTGAGAAATGGAAACACTTTGCTCCAACTGGTTGTGACCAATCATTTCTGAAGTCATCGAGTTGCAGACATGCTTTTGGTTTGGTGGTTTGTGGTGGCCGGGTAAAGTGACGAAGGCTCCTAAAGATGAGTATCCAGTTCTTCAATCAGACAAAGGAAGAACATGTGTGAAAAATGGCGCTTTATAAAACGTAGCGATTTTGATAGTGCTCAAATTTATTGCGTGTTCATTTTTCTGGTTCACGCCAAGAAATGATTGGCCCATCCAGTTGATCCGTATCCATACAGACTTCTAACTTTGACGGATATGAATATAATGTTTACAAACTTAATACGTTTATGAACTGAACCTTTTATTGTTATGAGATGTTTGTTTGTTAGGTATTTTCAGGTGCGTCTCAGAGACTTGGTGACAAGGAAAGTAGGTCAGATTGAACAGGTCAGCCAGTGGACTCGATGAACCTCATAGGTTCTGATGGCAGTGGTTGTTCGAACAAACACTTCTCTGTTAAAAACCACACATGAGTTTTAGGGCGTGATGTCCACTGCAGTTGAAGAGAGAAATGCAGCGAACGCGAAGAGTGTGGCGCTGAATTAAGATTGCAGCTCGAGGTTTTGAGTCAGAGTCTTTTTTCGACTCTTCTCTGAAACGTTTGGTTGGACACACGGATTATGATATTATAATGATTTCATCTCAGTTTCCTGATCATGACTTTTTCGTAGATGGAACTACGAGTACAGATATCCCCCCCCCCCCACATTATTATGGTAGGTCCTGTTACGATTGGCCAACGCTCCTTCAAAGCTGTAATTAAAATGGACTCTCGAGAAATGCATGTAAAACGAAATGTCAATGATGATTATGTTCTTGACATGACCTGTTAAATATCGATGCGCTCTCATCCTCCATCCCTCCCTCCTTCACTACCCCCCCCCTCCCCCCAACAAAGCCATTTCGGTAAAGGCCACTGACTATTATGTGAGTGCGGATTACCCCCACCCAGACGAGCGTTGGAAGAAGGATGAAATTTTAGCAGCTAAGATTAAGAAATTCCTCTCGGTGAGTGAGTGAGTGAGTGAGTGGCGTCTCGGGGACGCTGCCAGCTCCCCCCTGCCACGTCTCCACGTATCGCCGGTCAGTCAGTCAGTCAGTCAGTCAGTCTGTCTGGTTCCGGCTGACCGCGGGGTGCTGCATGTGACCGCTTCCTAGACTTGCGTGTTCGTTGACCTCATTAGTCACTTACAGATTGTATATTATTATTATCATCATACTTTTGATTGGTTGATTTTTATCATTTCTGTTGTCGTTACTTTTGACCTGTTTCCTTTTTAGTCCCTGTCGAATGTGTTCAGATTGAGTGTGTAGGCTATCGTTTGCAGATGGTTTTGGTTCCGGGTGTGTGGTGCAGAAAGATTGCACATTTTTGGGAGAAGCGACTTACCGGTTATACGCAGGAGCAAAAAGTATTTAGGTGATTATTTCACTGGACCACTGTAACAGAGAGGAAGAATTTTCCACTAGCTTCAACTTTCCAGCATTTTTTTTTAAATAAAAGAAATATCCACTGAAGAATAATGGTCAATTGATCGTGAAGTTGTTACATCCAATAAAAACAACTGAGATGTTTATTGTTGTTGCTTTCGGGAGGAGGGGCGAGGGGGGGGGGCTTCTTTAACTCTCCTGGTGAAGGCCATTTTGGGCAGGGCTGGAATTGCACTCCTGCAGAAAGATGGAAATTGCAAAATTTAAAACACTTCCTCGTAAAAAAATACAAGTTGCGTATGTGCGAGTGTTAAGAGTGAACTGCCTACCAGGTACACCACAGACGCTGTTCATTGACATATTTTATGTATGTATATCATACTCTTTCAAGTCAAAGAATGTGTATTGAGAAGAGCCACAAAAGATCTTTACGAAGTTAGTGATGAATACGTTAGCGAGTAGTTTTACACATTTCATTCAAGGAACTGCAAGTGCATCTCATGAAACCACACCTATACAAACATCTGCTCACGAAGCAAAACGTGTGAAACTTGAAATGATTGCCTGCAGTTGTTGTGTTATGGTTTGTTTGTTTCGACATTTTGTTTTTGTTTTTGTCTTTTATTCTTTACTCTAGTTGCTCTTTCTTGTCTCTTCTTTTCGAGTACGATTTCAGCTCCTAACAATTCTTGTAGGTTTGGTGTAAGGTAGAGCAGGGCGAAGGACCGATTCCGGAACCGATTCCCATGATTAATGCTACGGAAGAAAAGTTGCGACTCCTTTTGAAGTAACCCAACGGTTACCAGTTATTTAATCATTAAAATCTTCTTCTTTTTTTTTTTAGAATTTATTTTTGAAAAATAAAAGTTGATGCTTCGTAGTGTTCCAAAATCAAGGTTATCCTAAATCCTGAAGATGTTCGGAGCCAACCAGGTAACCACCGGAAGAAATCACATCATTAGAATGTAAGTAATTGGGTTCGGAGTCGATTCCTACGATTCCTAGCTTTCAATAATCGGGAATGTAGCTTCCCAGCACTAGTGTAAGGTTAATTTCTTTGGGTTTTAGCTTATCTGCTGTGAAATGAATCGAGCTAGAGACAAAGTGTAACGGGGTTTTAAGGAGGACTAAATTTTAATGTAAGGCAATTTGGACTCTTCTGTTGTCTTGTCCAAAAAGGAACATTGTAAATTGCGATTTGCTGGTCATCATTTCCTGTCAAGCACTATTGTTCAGCCCTTTTGTGGATTAATGGGTGTGGGGAGGGGTGTCATTTGAGGAGAGAATAGAATGCACTATGTTCAAAACGCGTTTTCTTGGATATGTTATACATGTATAATACAACTCCTTAGGGAGATTCTCTGCCAGAAATGCAGAACTTTTATATTGCAAGCTATGTATGACAAAGATAACTCTTCAGAAGCTTTTGGTTATTCGACCACCGAATTATAGCTATGGACAACTTAGATTTCTCCAATAAATATATTATGCTCTGTTTAATTTGAGGCTTTAATTGTCAGAATGATATGGCGTGGGGGTCCTAGCAGTCTTCCAGTTTCAGAAAAACCTTGACCTTTGAGTTGTTACGATCTGTTTCATCTCTGCCCTTCCCTGTTTTGTGTGTGCAGTGTGCGTGTTGCAATATTTCTATTACTCTTTTGAGTTTCATGCGTTGCTGTTTGTTTTCTTAGGAAACCACCAGTTCGTTGTTTTCAGAATACTTAGCGTCTTCACTTTTCTTTGGTCTCATAATAACCATTATTGTCTGTGATTGTTCCTCAGTGTAGGTAGAACCGCGCAAGGGAAACGTGTCATCATTCTTTCTCTTAGAACAAGTTCGTTTATTTTTTAAAAAATGATATGCGAGAAAGATTGAACGCTCACCTTGTTCGGTTTATCTGATGCAGCCCATTATGATGTTAAGCGTTGAAATTTCAACTTCATAAAATGGAAAGAAAAAAGCAACACTTGCAACCAATCAGATATGGATACTTCCTCTTCGCCTGTCCAATCTTGCTCCTGGGCGATTGGTTTCAATTTGCTGACTGTTACGATTTTACTAAAAACCGGGACGTTAAGACAAGGAATTTTCCATAGATGTAATTTGTATTGTCCCTTTTTGGTTTCTTTGTAAAGAACGAGATTTAGACTCCGTATGTTAATAGCCAGTCTCCAGTCTGTTAACTAATTGTACGTTTTTTAAAAATCCTTCATTTGAGCGGTTGCCTGGTTGTTCAGAAATTCAACAACGCTCTACGTAGTGGGCTGCATCCCTTGTATGTGTATATTATACATGTGTGTTTGTGCTAACGCTGCTACTTCGTACGATGCCCATACTATTACATCCTACATGTTATGATTACCTCTTGCTTTGCATCTAGGGGAACTAGAAAGCGTGACGGGTAGCTTGCGTTCGCGTGGCTCTCACGACGGATACGGCTGGAGGGGAAGCAAGCCAGATTGCCTGGCCAAGCCCACTCTCTACGATACGGGCCGGGGCACGAGCGTAGAAACCGAGAGCGGCTCCTCCGAACCCCCGCCTCTCAAAGAGAATGGCAACGACACGGGGCTGTCTTCCTCTAGCAACCTGACGCTCAACACGTCCTCTGTTGACGATTTCGTGTCCAAGAGGCAACTGCAGTCGATTAAGGTAGTAAAACTTGGCACCAAAAGACCAACCCAAAAGAAAAAAAATACATTACTAAATAAATTTTTCAAAGATGGTATTTCTTTGTCGTCAAGTCCAGAATGCTTCCTCAAACCATCAACAGCACACTGCAGAGTTGGACAGTTAATAAGCCATCCATGTCCAGAATGGGTAGCAGCAGCGAGTTATGGTAGCATCAATCAGCACATCACTGGTTTCTATTTAGTGAAGAATAAGGGTGTAACAGAGCATCCCTGAATACTACTATTATATCTTCCCGCCCCACCCCCACCCCTCGACTGTTTTCTTTTCAATACAGTAGTTCTGAGCTCTAGCAGATGTGTACGTTTATTCAAGAAGAAAAACCCCCCAACAATATTAGAACATCGTTTAGTATTGTCATACCCCACCCTACCCCACACCCTCTCTGCTAAAAAAAATAATAATAAGTAAGTTTGAGCTCTATCAAATGTTTGTACGTACTTTTGTGGAAAAACAATGTAGAAAGAAAGCACCCTTGGGATATTGTCGTGTGTCCAGAACGCATAGATCTCTATCTGTTGGCCACAGTAGTAGCACCCAGCACCTATGTCTAGTTCGTGAGGACAAGGCTATATGTGTGACAGAGTGCTTAACCGCTTCAATAGAACTGCAACCCCAGCTGTTTTATCCTCTTGACAAATCAGCTCTGTTTGTGAGTCAATTGGTCAATAACTCGTAGATTGGGAGCACCAATAAACAACGTGGATTTCGATTAGTGGGAACAAAATTAATTACATCTGAAAGTTACTAGAACGATATTCTGAAATTGTCGTCATTGTCATTACATAAAGTCTTTGGAAATTGTATTTAAAGACCTATGTGACCAAGAACGATCGTATTTGAGTAGTGATAGCCAACAACAAAAAAACGAAACAAGAGCCATTACTTTTCTCAACACTCTTTTCACTTGAATAGATAATTCAAAGTTAGAATGAAAGTTTTTGGTTTGCTAATTTCAAGTTAATTTTTTAAAAGATAATTTCAAGTTGGAATTTTTGGTAAACTCATCATATGAAAAGAATTTTTCAACAATTATCATTAACACTGTTTTGCCAGTGATGTCAGATAGTCGAAAGGTCAACAACATTCTCATACCTAAGGGCTCAGGAACAAAAGCACTAAATATGGTAACAACAGCTGTTCTATTCTTACTGCATAAGGAAAGCCAATAAATAGTTACTAATTGTATAAGCTTTAACTGCTTTGGACACCCAAACACGATACCACAAGGCTGTGCAATTTCTATTCTGCTTGGTGGTGAACGGAACTTTCAAACCTTCATTTGTTTTGTTTTGTTTTTCTCAACAAGTGGGGTGTTGTTGGTGTTGTTTTTTAATCAAGACATTGGGTGAGGACATATGAGAGATCCTTTTTTGTTTTTGTCTTCTGTAAACACCGTGAATCTTCAGAGCAGACAAGACAAGAGACGTATTTTTGCCATTATTTAAAAGACATAATTTCGTTTAAGAGGACAGACCGACCCTACTTTTCTTCCTGTCCTACGTGTTTTACACAGTAGTCATTCTCTATCGTTTGGCTAAATGTTTAAAAAGCACTTTCCTGTTTGTTTGCCAAAGCCACTGTTGGTTTGATTTCTAAAGATTGTTTGATTGGGTGAGGGTTTTCTACAAGTTGTCGTCGTACCTTTTGCCTTGGCATTGAAACTCTCTTTGCTTTGATTCTTTAACCTTATCCGTACGTCGTGTTTTACTATCGTATCCATACGACATGGGGAACTCTGTGCCACCACTTTCCAAAGAGGAAATTTAGTAAAATTTACTCGTTAATCCGATCCGTACGGTTTGCATAGCAGTCTGTCAAAATGACTTTTTGAGAAATACTGAAAGTTTCAAAGAGATCTTCGTACTAGAAGTATTCTAAAATGTGAAGAATACAACTCTGGGGGTGCAAAAAACTGACAGCAGTGCGTACGGATAAGGTTAATCGGGATCCCAGTTTATTAACTTTGATGACGTATCTTGTCTTACGCCAAACTTCCTCTGCAAAATCTCCTTATTAACTTAGAGAAGCCCAGTTTAACGTCAGCAAGCTTTTCAACTGTTCTAAGTTCGTTCTAGATCACGTTTTTGCTTTTTAATTAATTGTTGGTTGTGGGGAAGGGGGGGGGGGCAAGGAAGTTTTACTGAACTTTTTACGGCACTTGCAACAAATATAGGTCAAGTAAGTGCCGAACTGTTCTACACTCAAAAAGCACGCTGGGGGGGGGGGGGGGTTAAGTAAGTGTACAAAACGGTTTCATTCTCCATACCTACCGTATGTGTACGTTTTCCTCCTTTTTTCTTATAAACGTTTTCAATCTGAACTTTGACCAAATATTTCCTGAGCACACCAACCTACAAACATAATAAGGCAGTATATGTACGTTTTCTTCTTTTTTATATAAACGTTTAGAATCTGAACTTTGACCAAATATTTCCTGAGCACATTTTTATAAACATTTAGAATCTGAACTTTGACCAAATATTTCCTGAGCACACCAACCTACAAACATAATAAGGCAGTATATGTACGTTTTCTTCTTTTTTTTATAAACGTTTAGAATCTGAATGTTGACCAAACATTCCCCGAGCACATACAACCTATATCACATATTATTAAGAAATGCAAAAAAGTGTTATAACGCAGTGGGATCAGGCGCTCGTCAATTAGTGGGCCCGTAGAGTTCTTGTTTTCATGCTAAAGCTTGTTCGTTTGTCTATCTTTCACTGAACAAATTACGCGTCTATCTTAAATAGTAGTTGAGATATATATGCGATTTAGGGAAGTGGGGTCATTTGGTTTCGAAGGCAAAATTAGTGAGAAAATGGCTGCCAAACTTTGGTAACTTTAATAGCTTGAGAGGCCTTGAAAACTAAGAAATCAGATATTGTGTGCCTTTAATCAACATTTTTCAGTTAATTTCACTTGGACATGTTTTTATATGGACATTACAAGGTGTTGAGCAAAAAAAAAAAGATAAACATCGCCAAGTTCTCGGGAAAATGCCTGTTTCTTCAATGTTATTTTTTTTAAATGAGCGCCTGATTTCACCATGATGCCTCACAAAATTTGTTAAAATTATTTCAAAATTGTGGACTAAGTAAAGGGGATCAGCAGGCTGACGATATGCACTTTATAAAATTAAGAATAAAAAAGCTACTGTTGACCATTTTGATTACATCATTTCGAGAAGGGAAAGGAGAAAGGGGGGAAAATCAATCTTTAGTTTAGTTTTAGTAGAGGTATTACGGCGCTCGCTACTGCATAAGGTCATATGAGCGCCAAAAGATTACAGGTGTTACAAGAGAGTAACAAACATAAAAAAGAAGAAGGGGAGATAAGGACGATAGATGTTTGATAGGAAAGAAGCAAACCACACCAGAGCACCCGCCAACCACCCACAACATCTTCTTGAAAGAATGATCAGTGTCCTAAGATTTTCTCAGGATTCCGTTTCGTTACAATCCCAAAATTTCTCAACTTAAGATGTAGAACAAGTTGTACGTCCTAGATCTAAATCAAAATATAAAAACAAAACAACCCCCC